GGGGAGGGGGTTAATGCCTTCCATACCCTTTAAAAAATTATAAAAATGATCACCCCCAGGGGTGTGCTGCCAAAGGTTATTATATTTTTAGCCTTTTATCTCGTACCCCCTGAAAGAGATGCTTCTGAAGAAAGTCTAGTCTTAGTAGATTTTTGTTGACTTGTGAAAATGGTGATAAAAAATGGATAACCCATATCTGGACATGAATAACTTTAACATACCTGTACCCTTAGCCAAATGAAAAGTTTACAATAATGCAGCATATTTGCTGCAAATTCACTGCTAATTTGCAGCAGGCCTGACATTTTGCTTAGGGTAGTCATTTGCAGATATGACTTGTCTTGGGGTAGCAAAAATGTATAATTATCATTACTTATTTACTTTCAAAATAAGGAAGTAATTTATGAAATACAGCTGAATATGGAATATGCTTCATTTGCCTTCATTGTGTGTTAATTCCCTCTCTCTCTGTGGGTCTAGTTGAACCCATATCTGTAGATACTTAATTGCATTCCTGGGTGCTAGCTGTAAAAAAAAGTTCCACTGTAACTGACAAAATAAGAGTGAACCAGTTGAAGATGAATATCTTAATTTTTTTTCGTACTCAGAGATTTAAACTTTTTTTTTTAATTAAAAAACAACTGTTTCAGTAACATCATTTAGTGACATTTCCAGCTGCCAGCTCATTTCTTTCTGACTTATTTTTGTAATTTGACAGAACTGTATAGAACGTGGAAACTTGTAAAATATAAAAGTTATAATGAACCTTCACAGTTAGGCGAATCCAGTTACTGATTAGATACTACCTATTTAAGTACAAAGAGGTTCAGTGTAGGTGGGGTGGGGAGGAGGGGTTAATTAAATAAATAAATATTTTAAACTTTTTTTCGAAATTAAAAGCATCAAATTAGACTTGCGAATTTTCTATGGAGTAATTAAAGATATTTTTAAAAATACCCATCAAGCATTCACTGTGAAAATTTGGCATGGGTTGTCAGAAAAGTTGAATAAGTTTAAGCTGATAATTGACGCCTCAGAAGCCACCCAATAGCTGCTCTTTATAGAATTTGTGAAAAGACGGCTGTACAAAGTAGCCCACGCGAGCTATTACATAACAGTAAATATGCACAAACAATGCGTTTTAAGGTAGGTTTAGAAATGAAAATAAAGCGCAGTCGAGACCCGTTCAAGAAGTTGTAAAACTCGTTTTCCATTAACATTTATCAGACCAATTAATTTGGAGGAAATGTATGATATAAAATTAACGTCCTTAAACTGTTACAACATGAAGCGGTTTTCTAACTGTAACGAATAGCAACATCAAAACAGTTTTGATCGATCCTACTACTGTTAAATTCCACGTTGTGTTCACTGACCCACATGCACCAACAGCAGGGGCCTTGTCACGCATTTTATCACCTTGACCCCTCCGCATTGGCAGGTGTTTTGGTCAGAGCTAAGACCACTGAAATATATTTCAAGCATACTTTACCAAGCGAAGATAACTTGATATCTTTTGTAATGGAAACGTTGTACGATAATTTTACAAATCAATTTATTTGGGTACTAAATACAGCAAAAGTACCTTGCCCTATTTTCTTGTTTTCCTTCATTTCCTGCTTTTTCACTTCGCGGATTGATCTAGTTGTATAAAGTTTCCAAGACAAGATGGCCGTGAGTAAGGAAACGACGACGAGCAATTTAGATTTGCTGTTGCAAGCAGGTAACTAAGTTTGAAATTGAAAAAAAGTTGAGAAGTCATGTAGGTCATGACAGTGGGTTATGAGCTCGCATTTTGTTTTTGATATCTGGTAAGGTTTTTACTGTCAAATTGGCTTCAGTAATCCTAACCAGGAAGTGGTAGAAAGCAGCAATGCTTATTATAGGCAATGGCTTCCTGTCGAGAAGGTTGCGTTTCTGAAAACTGCTTTTGGACCGTAACATTATTTATTAGCTATTATTACGACAAAAAATTATGTCGTTGACCTTTTTGGGGCTATCACTTGTTCGATTACTTGTTATGTTGATAATAACAAGAAGCACTTCTGCGATTAAATTACAAACGCAAGAAGTGCACCACATGGTTTTGTCAATGGCCGATATATTCAATATTTGATATAAACTACTACCTTTTAACTGTGAGTCGTGGTCTA